TATAAGATTATTCTTAAGTACTTTAATTCATTTGTCTGTCTTATACCTTATAAATACTGCTAAAGTGCACTAGATATAAGATATGAACAAAATTACCATGCATGTTATGTCATTTTTCAGTTTTTTTAATTCAACTACAGTTAGTTTTTTCAGTAGCATAGAGTTTCCCAAAAGTTTATAAACACCATAAATGTACTGTTATAAAGAACATAAAAGGAAAACTGCCTTAGATTCAAAAAGTTTATTAAAGAACATTGAGTAGCATGTGGCAAAGAAATATACTGATAAAAGACAAATTCAATGTGCACTAGAGTTATATGAAAAAAGTAAAGGAAGGAATGCCCTAAAAATATGTAGAGCTAGAATGCACAAATTTCAAATGAACCCGGTGTACTCAGTACCCCGTTTTTCGCATTTCTCAAGGCTTTTGACACTCCAGGAGCCCAAAATGTAAAAAAAAGAAACTCTCACAATACAGTTATTCTGTTCGGAATATCAGCGTCTATTTTACATTATATCTCATGGCTAGATTAACCCAAAATTTTGAAATTTGGCAGGATTATTTTTAAGTACGAAGCATCAATGTTAAATTTTGTTAGTTAAAGATCAAAGGGGTGCGGGGAGATATAAGGGTCATGTATTATATCTGGAGTGTGGTCAGACTTGACAATGAAAGTTTCACTCGTTATTAGCATTTACAATTTCTTTTAATTTAATTAAAAATTCACTCCTACCTCAAAATAAGCCTTTTGCCTTTTTATAGCAAAAACAATTATTTTTAAATAACTCATAACAGATGGCGCTACATGTAACTTTAAGTTAGGAGTCGAAAAATTGCAAGTGCGCCAGTTCTTGCCGTTTTTCGTTGTTTAACTTATGGTATAATAAAATATTCCTTGATTAGGAAACATGTAGACATTTTAATCAAAAAAATAAATTTTTTAGATTATTATATAATTAATCTAATAATAAACATGTTGAATTACAGTTTTGAATAAAATGTTTGTTAATTCATTATTATTATTTTAAATGTGTTTGGCTGCGAAGTTTTTATGGCTTCTGATTGGTTTTTGTTGAGAGAATTTTTCTATAAAAGCGTTGATGACTTAGCGGTTCTGTCTTTTATTCATTTATGTATATAATAAAAAATATTTGCGTTTTAACGTTTCTTTGGAAATTAATTCGTTAATAAAATATTTTTTATCGGATATTTTCTTAGTTCTGATATTTAATTAGACGTAATTGCAGTAATTTTCTTATTTGATAAAACGGAATAGATGAAGTAGTTAAATACTGTTTTTTTTAATTGTTATTAAATTACGATGATTCAAACAACAATTTCAATTTCTCCTAAAATATTGACTTTTTTTTGAACAAATGAATTAAACTCTTATTTACGATTAATGTTAAAAAAATAAGTAATTGTTTGCAAAGTATTTTTGTTCGTTCTGAAAATTAATATTCTTTCATTCATATCAAATTCCAATAATCTGACGAAATTGTATTGTTGAAGTTATTTTTTTTTATTTAAGTAATAAAAAAAAGTAAACATTCTGTCATTGTCTACTTGCAATTAAAAGTTTCATTATTAATTATTTCATTGGTTAACATATTGAACAGATAACTATTAAAATAATTTATTAATATTAATTTAAAGAAGTTTTTTTGTTTTGTTATTGTATCTGCTTCAAAATTATAAGTAGCGAATAAAACAAATCCCTGGTATAAACAGTCAAAATCCAAAATAGAATTTTCATAATTTAATTTGTGTTAACTACTGTAATAAATATCCAACAAATTTTAAAACTAAAAGTAACTCAAATGTGAATTTTTGTATCTAACGTTAACAGTTTCAGTTTGTCACTTCGAAATGTCAGGTTAATAGATGATATTCGAAAACATGTTTGTCATGCGTATCAAATTAATGATTATTGGCTTCTAATTAAAAATCGATTACCTAGACAATTTATTAATTTATCGTTTCGATCTGAAGGCCGAAACTTTCGATAGACATTAAGAATTATTGTTAGCGTCCACAGTAATAAAGTTCTTGCATTCAAATACTGAATTTTTATTGATGGAAGTTGAGTCGAATATTAAGGAGTACACTTATAAACATTCGTTTTTAAAACACATTTCATTTATTAGTAGTTGTTAATTATTATTATAGCATGAATTTATCAGATTTGAAATTGAGAAAATATTTAAACTGCTAATTTTTTATGAACTTAAGTTATTATTTTTAATGAACTGATAGAAGGAAAATTTTTAAAGAATATTTTTATTTCGTTTTGAATCGGTTGTTCGAATGTTAGAAACAGCTGAGAAACTATTCTGGATTTTTGGAAAAATCTTGCTATTTAAAACTGTGGAATATATCATTAAAATATTATATAATCTTGTTAATTTTAAAAGAAATATTTAAAAAAAAGAATTATGAGAGGCGAGTAGGTACGCCAGAAATCCTACGAAATATTTAGCAGTACTGTACTATCTCGGGAACGATCAACGAACATACGCTGATTATGCGAAATGAAGTTCTAAATAACATGTTAGACTTAATGCTTCCAAGAATATACATTTCGTAGAAACGTTATAGCATATAAGTATTATAGTTTAGGCGTTTATATGTTTAATAATAATTTTAATGTGAAAATTCTGAATTCTTTAAATACAGTATATTTCTTTTCGAATTCTGCTGCCATCTGGTGAAATTAATGTGAAACATGTTATATAAAATTTATTTTTAAACCTATAGAATTTTTTTAAAAGTAATGTTTTCATTGAACACTACTGAAGTATGTTAATAAATGAATGAATTTTTTTTTGCATAATGGGGATTTAATATTTACGACCTTGAAAAAGAGTATTGCCCTTTAGAGATCTTGGAACAGGCAGTTTTATTTGGCTCATCTCCGGTTTTCTTATTTGCTCCGACTTTGTTTCTTGTCTAATTGTGTATGAAAAACAGTGATCTCGGTGTTAACATTCGATTCGCGTAGTTGAACATGTGTTATCATCAGCTCATGTTCCCTGTTAGCTGGTTAGAAAAGGAAATTTATACAAAGTAATTACGAATACAGTAATACCTCGACTTACGCTACTCCGACTTACGCGATTTTCAAATTTCGTCGATTCGTCTTTTGTTTGAGCTCCACGCAACTCTTGATTACTCACTCCCCCCACACTATTGTTCAGCTTACATGTTCGGATGTGTCGCGCAGAATCGACATATAGCTACTATTTATTTTGTGTTATTTATTTCTGTGTTTGTTATATCTACGCATTGAGAGAGACTATGTGGTGATTTCTTGTAACCGTGAACGAATCAAAAGACGATATAAGATTAATTAACGAGAACATTTATTAGCTTACATACATCCGACTTGGATTTTACACAAATTGCGAAATTATACCCCGACTTACGCGGTTATCGCTCGCTCCCACCTATCGCGTAAGTTCGGGGTATTACTGTACGTCACGTTTGGAACGTTCGTTATTTATTCGAACTATTTTTCTACGAAATCCAAGAAATTGTACTTTATATAAATTACATAGTAGCTAAAAGCAAAATCACACAGCTAAAACAATTATACCTCCATTTGAATTGATAAAGTGAAAAAATATATATATAAAAGGAATGCAAGAGTAAGAGATATGGGTGATGTATAACATAATTACATAATATTTTAATCTATTTTTAAATATTTAAATAGAAGACCAATCAGGAATGTAATTTTTATATAAAAATAAATGCATTTTAAAAATATAAACCAGTTTTTACTTAGATGCTGATTCTGAACTCGAAATAATGATGGAATGTAGTAGAATAGAGTTAACTGTATAGTTAAATGTGCAATGATTCTGCATTATTGTACTTCATTTATACATTTATATATATAATTTGATGATGGTTCGTTAGACCAGTATTTGTCCCAATTAACTGAAATTTCATAATTCTTAATATTGTATCGATTAAACAAGGATAGTTTAATTTAGTGTTGCGTAAAAGTATAGTTATAAAAAAAAATAAATGCTGAAACAAAGTTCCGTTTGATCTGTTAATAAAAAAACCTTTAATCGTTTAAAATATTTTCGGCTATAATGTTACACAAGGAAGTCATTATTTGTATCATTGCTACGTAAATATTTCTTCATTTGGAAGTTTTATATTATTAAATATATACTTTGATAGTCGTTTTAACTTTAGCTGTTATATGTATATCATTTGATCCTGTTTTATTGCGAAAAAACAATTTTAGTGTTAACACAGTATAATATATAACTATTTTTTTTTAATACAGACATTTTCAAGATGGATTTAAATGCAATTCAGAGGTAGTTTCATACTTAATTAAAGCATAACATTATGAACAGGAAATAATATTTTCAGAAATTATTATAGATATACTTTATTAGTAGTTTAAATACTTTTTTTATTTTCATTCGAAAGTAAATTTCCATATATATTTTTCTGCACTATTAGAACTTAAGTAAAACTGATTTGATTTGATTATTAGAGATTTACCTAATGTAACCAGTTTTTTAAAATTATACTACGCTTTCATTTCGAAAATAGTACAAGAAAAACTCAAACAACTTGTATGCATAAATTTACTGTTTCAATCGTGACAGCCTAGTAGATAGAATGTAAAATGTTACTTTATAAGTGTTCTTTTGGTATGATAGTTTCAGTTGTTAAACTTAAATTTTCTAGCTATTCAAAAGATAAGGTAATACGTTAAAATTGCAAAATACTAAAATATATGTGTTCGTTTCGACAATGTTTTAAAATGGATTCGTTTTAAATAATTGGTCTGAACATAAAATCTGTTAGTAGAGATACTGTTTCCGAGAAAGATACTATCTCAGTGTGCAAGATTTAAGTTTTTAAATATATTTGCAAGTATAGTTTTTTTTAACAGAAGATTTAAAATAGTTGATTACTCTTATTAAAAAAAATAGTCCATATAAAACATTTCAAACGAAAAGTTACTATATAAGTATTTAAAATTGAGTTGTCAAAAATGGCATTGTAAACGCACTTCACGTGTTTTATCCATGTTTCTTGGCCTCCGACCAATGGGGAAAGTTATGAAAACTCACCTAAGCTAGAGGCTACCGATGTTATTTCATGTATCCTTTCATTTCACTTTCTCTACTGCGGTCTTCCCCCTGTGCTTTTTTCCCTTATTGTTTTTAAACTGAAAATAACTTCCTCCCTATCTTTTTAAAAGTTTTAAGAATTTATTGCATCGTTTATATCGTTGGATTTTAACATATATCAAACATTTTAATATATATCTATATCTAGATATATCGTTTCCATTTGTCTGCGTTAAACAAAGATCTAATATTTAAAAAAAATGGTAAGTTTTTATTTTCCATGTTTTAAGAATTCATCTGCATTTTAAAAATTGCGTATTTTTATAACTTGTTAGATTAGTAAAATAATGTTTTGTCACTTAATGATTGAACTGAACTAGAAGTGCTGAGCTACTTCGACGCAAGAATATAATCAACCTTCCTGTTACACACAGACCAACGGAAGTGAGAGGTGCAGTTTAGGAACATTGGACTTTCAAGCAAATGCTATTTTCGATTTAATTTGTCTGTTATAATTAATAAATTTTATATATTTTTGTCCTACTTAAAATTTTTTAGTGTGCAAGCAAATACTTTTACGGCATTTTTGTTTAAATCATCTCCTTGAGAAATAGTATCGTCTATATGTCTGACCGTCGAAAACCTGTTCTTTTGTTCTACATGTCTGTTTTATCGTCGGGTCCTTGAAAACTATCATTAGAAGGTCACATCTGAATGAATTAGATATTTGAAGTTTCATTTTTAGATGTATGGCCATATTAAAAATAACCTATCAATTGAAATATTTCCATATATAATTCCTGTACTGTTTATTATTTTGTTTAGAATACGTAAAATAGTTTCGCAGCAGTTCAAAATTTTCTACTGTGTATCTAATTTTGTTTTTACAGATGATGATAATTTAATATATCTTAATAATAATGATAAATTAAAAAATTAACGAATAATTGCAATGGTGATAAAAATGTCACCGAAAAAATTCTGTTCACCTAACTTAGTTTATAAATTTTTTTTAAAAAACTTTATTCAAAAATTTAAAATCACTCATTTCTGTTTTTGCATACATAAATAATCCAAATTACTTCTAAATATATGTCAAATACTGACAAATTTATTGGTTTATAATTCTTGGATTATAGCACAATAAATCTGTCAGCATCTGACTAGGTATAACTTTTTTATTCATTCCGTATGTATTAATATTTTCATATGAAATTTCATTCTAGATGTTCTAAATACAAAGCAAATGTGATTCTATAAATTTTATATATTGCATATACAATGTGTTCTTTTGTTGCGCTATTTTATTGCAATAAACTTGTATATGTAACCTTAATTGCAAAATTGAATATATATTGAAATATTTTATAACCAGATATTCTGTTAGCTTAAATTGGTTTAATATCTATTAGCTGGAAATGATGTTAAGCAGGAAATCCAGTTATTCGAATGTTTTTTTCGTCTGTTTATTTTTCTAATCTTTTATATTTTATAACAATAATTGCTAATAAAAGTTTTACTTCAGTTTCATAATGCTCATTTCATTTATTTACTATTAAATGTGGTCAGGTGGAGTAAGTGCCTTACTACATAGTCTGGATAAGTTGTCTTTTTTCTGATTGGATGTAGGTAAACTAACTTTTGTATTTAAAATTCAGTATTTGTTTTTAAGATACAGTATTTACATGAATATTGTAGAAAGATAGATACAGATACTTTTAAAGTTGTGAAGCGTCCACGTACTTTGTCATAACAGGCCAAGTCGCATTTACCCCATGATATGTTGATCTTTAGGATAACTGCATCCATGCCAGTGGGATAAATGGACCCCGTTTGTGCTCTGCATATAGACTCTTCGAGATACATCTCTGTGACACTAGAACACAATAAAGTACAGTATCAGACTAGCAGTTGATTATTCCGTCATTAACTTGATAAACAGAGTAGTTTGTTCCTTGTCAATAAGAAATCTAGGGAGAAACACTTGTGTTTTCTGGTGGCCAGATATGCAGGCATTTCTTTCCAAGTGATTGTGAAGTTTTTCGGCAAAACGTGTCGTGATGGAAGACGTGATTTAATTATTTTTGTTGTAATTTAGGATCTTACTATTACCGGGATAAGATGGTTCAAAAGTAGTGCTAGGCTGTCTTTTCATAAGAAAGTTATTCTCAAGCAATTTCATCTTGTTTCCTAAATAACTATACATGTTTATTGTGACTAGGGATATAAATTAAAATACATAATGCTGATTTAACGATTTTTACTGTTGCGTTTTAGTGTGCATCATTACTTAATTTGTTATGCACGTGTGCAGTGAGTGTACCGAAGTTTGTGTATAAAGGAAAGGTTATTGTTATAACTTTGGCTCACTTGATCTCTTGATCTGCATTTGATTTTATTCGGATTTTCCTAGCTATTACAGTGGTAGATGTACCTATTCCCACTAATAGGGATAAGTGCATTCTACAGCGTTTTTTAAAATATATTCCGACTCAACAAATAACACACTGAGAGACTCTGATATTCACGACCTGATGCTGTAGAACCAGGTAAGTTATTCCAGCAATTGGATTTTGAAACCATGTAATCTTTAATCTCTCTAACTGGCTGAAACTTTCAAATTCTGGAATTGAGAGCGCACTTACCCCATCTTACCTTAGTTGTTTTTTTTTATTTTTTATTAAGAACGAATGAACTTGCAATTCGTGTTTTGTTAGTTATTTTATGGACATTAAAAAGTTACAACGAAACTTTAAAAAATTCAATATAAATACGCAGTTTTAACAATTAGTTCATTCAAGCAAAAGTTTTTGCGTATTTGCAATTGACAAAATCGATTACAAAAAGCAACAATTGCTGAAGCGATCGCGACAACCCATTATTTAGTTTACTGAGATCGCGCTATTATTCAAAGTTACCAATCATAACAGTCAATTACGTCAAAAATGGTCGAACGTTATCTATCGTATTTGAAGTAATCGTAACTGAAGTCTGAAACATTTATGATTCACAAATCAGTTACGATTACTTCAATTACTTCAAATTTTTGAACTAAACTATACTTTTTTTTCTACTTTATTATTGATACTGTAATAAAGTTTAAGCAATTCTGGAAAACAATCGATATTTAAAAATGACAATAATTTACTTTTTTTGGAACGAACTGTTAAAATTGTATTACTTAGCGTCGATATGCGAAACTGTTGCATAGACGTATTTCTTTAAGCGATTAATATAGAATAATCATATCATTAAGTGTCAAATTATGTATAAACTCTTCGAAATTATTCGGACATACTTATCCCAATGACATACTAATAATAATAGTTTCTAAGTATAGAATCGTTTTTAATACGGAATTATTAATCGATGATAATTTATTTCAGTCGCATAAATAAATATTATTCAATAAATTACTTATTTGATTTTTTCATTCGTTAATAATTTAATAATTAATAGTTTCGCGCTGAAACTGAGAAATTGTATGGGAGTTATTGAGAGAGATTTCAGCTGAGTTATGACCTTGAATTTCGAAACGTTTTTGTAAAATGTCTTACGACAATCATGACAATCGTTTTTGTTCTAATGTTTATAGTGCTGAAACATAATTTAATTAATTTTTTTTTTAAGATTTCAGTATAACAGTATAAGAAATAGGATAGCTTCATTTAATTTAAACTGACGACTTTGAAATTTATTTTAAATTCCAATATTTTATTCGTTATAAAAAATTTTGTTTATGTTTAAATATAAATATTATAACCGGTTGTTTGGGGGGATTTACTTTTTCAAAGGACAAAACCTACATACATTTTTTGGTATATGTACTTAATCCTTTATATATATATATACAGAAATCATAGCATTAATATATATATATATACTACTATATAACAAAAACTTTCATATTAATTAATGCTATGATTTCTGTAAGTACTGTTCATATTAAAATCTGTAGTCTTAATTATTTCAAAAATTAATAATTTATTGGAATTTGAGGCACAGATATTTTACACAATATTGTTATTGTTATAATGTGATGAGACTTTTCTAATTTTATATAAAATTTTCATGTGTATTATACAGTATGTATAATATGTGAAAAATATTTTAGTTACATTAATGGAGATTAGAGCATAGAAAATTGAAAAAGTGAAACTATTTGTTATAAGATTGCAATTACAATTAGTTGTGACAATTTTAAAATAAAAAATCATTAAGAAAATTATTCGTTAAAAATTTATGAATGTTAAAAGTGAATTTAAATTGAAGTATTTTGGAATATTTTAAAATAACAATGAAGAATATTGAGTTTAAATTTTTCTGATGATATTTCAAATAATCATATTATCCAATTAACTGTTAATTACACTATATATAATTTTAACAACATGATGCCATTCACATATTATTATGGCCATAAAATGGAGAATTTTGATAATTGTATTATAATCATTATGTAGTAAATAGGCAGTTTATTAATAAGTAATGGAAACTTTCCTTTTAAACTGGGAAGTAAAATAAGACTAAAATTAGTGGAAATTTTGGATTTATTGACTGAATTAAGAGGACATATTAAAGTAATTACAAAATGTATAAATTTAAGTTCATTATGCTCTTTAGTTATTATCTTTACTTTGCAGCCAAAAAGGACATAAGTTTTTATTGAATTTATATAAACAAGTAAAATAGTTTGTTTACAATTTAATCACAGTATTGACATGAAACATTTTTAGACTTCAGTTATAGCAATAATTTTTTTAAGTTTAAATTTTTTGTTGCTGGTTTTGTTGTGGATTTTTAAGAATTAAAAGCTATTGACTTTTTTCTCAGTAACACATCACACAAGGAGCATTTGTTGATATGGGTTTTATTGGAGGAAATGCATTTCGGGTCTTAATGACCTCTCTTCTGGTCAGTAAGACCCAAAATGCATTTCCTCCAATAAAACCTATATCAACAGATGCTCCTTGTGTGATGTGTTACTGAGAAAAAAGTCAATAGCTTTTAATTCTTAAAAAAATTGTTTTTTCTTGCAGAGAAGCTGGGGATCTAAACACACTTATTTTCTTTTTTTCTGAGACATTAAACTAACTGTCTGAAGAAACGAGAAACGCCTGAATGATAATTTTCTCGTTTCTTGCTTATCTATTGATTGGTGTGAGGTCCAATATCTTTCACTTTTAACTGTCTCATCTTTAAGACTAATTTGTGACTATATAAGTCACCATATTCCTAACTTTAGATCAAAATTTTTTCCCTTCTACTTTTAAGTTTATGGCTGCTTCAAACTTTTGTTGACTGACTTTCTCAGGGTGAAATTGTTTCATCATTCTATGTCGACTACAAACTGTTGAGGATTGTCTGACTGTACAATTAAGTTTAAAATGTGTACAAATAACAAATTTTGTTATTGCTCTCCTAAGCTTAGAGTTATCATTATTGTCCATTGAACTCTCTTGAGATGTCATAAAATTTTTAGAATTTTTTATTGCTTCTTCCATGATTTTTATCCAAAATGTACTGCCTTTTACAAATTAAAATCATTTACTTATGCAGATAATTACAGCAGAATTCTAATGTTTGAAAATTTATTAATTATAATTATTATAAATATCAATTATTTATCTAGCATATACAGGTATACCTCAACTTACGTTGTTTCGAGTTACGTCGTTCCCGATTATACGTCGTTTGTCAAAAAAGTATACGGAAAAATAAAAATCAAGTTTAAGTCATTTTATTCGACTTTACGTCCGTTCGCCACAAATATTGAAGTCGTAATATCACTAGAAAAATGTTTAAAGCACATAAAATCATATTAAAATATATACATTTACAAGTATGTACTGTATTTACAATACAGTACAGTACATGCATTCGTAAATTTAGATTACTTTTTTCTGTACTCTACTAAAAACTAAAATTTATTTGTTTGTAAGCTTAAAATAGATTCTTATTAACCATATATTATTAAAAATGCAGTAATAAATAAAATACAGAACTGGGAATAATAATTTATGGTTTTTCCTAGTGACAAGTAGATTCAGAGACAAGTAAATTCGACTTATGTCGTTTTTTGACTTAAGTCGTTTTCCTGGAACCAATTACCGACGTAAGGCGAGGTATACCTGTAATTGAAATAAGAAATACCAGTAATTTAAACTATTGTATGTGAGCAAATAACAATTAAAACACTAAGTATTGATGATGATAATTGCTTGTTGTCAGCCAAATATTGTGCTAATAATACAAAAAGATAGCCTAAACATGCCTAATTATCTGAATATAGTAACTATAACAAACTCTGATAACAAGAAGCAAAGTTTTGTAACTATGTTTTAACTTAGGTTTTGGGACAACACATGCTAATTTAACTAACATTTAAGTTTCTGATGATGATATCCACAATTATAATAAATGGATTCTACTATAATATTTTACCATCATCAAGGAATCTAATATGTGAAGGGGGAAAACATTTTCCACACCATTACACTTAATTGGAACAGTCTAAATGTATACAATTTACTAGTAAACAATTCAATGTTAACATAGTATTAATATTTGTGATTGTGATTTGCAATTGTATATTTAAATCATTTCAACTTTAATGTGTTATGAAAATGGAGTTGGAAGCATTCTAGAAACTTAAAGAAGAGCTTAAAAATGATTTTTATTAAAGATTTTAAATTATCATCTGCAATTCCTATTCTACTAATATTTTTACTTATGCAAGTTTTATGTTATATAAATGTATTTTGTTTTATTACATATTTTTAAAGATATTTCAAATAATCATATTATCCAATTAACTGTTAATTACACTATATATAATTTTAACAACATGATGCCATTCACATACTATTATGGCCATAAAATGNGATATTTCAAATAATCATATTATCCAATTAACTGTTAATTACACTATATATAATTTTAACAACATGATGCCATTCACATACTATTATGGCCATAAAATGGAGAATTTTGATAATTGTATTATAATCATTATGTAGTAAATAGGCAGTTTATTAATAAGTAATGGAAACTTTCCTTTTAAACTGGGAAGTAAAATAAGACTAAAATTAGTGGAAATTTTGGATTTATTGACTGAATTAAGAGGACATATTAAAGTAATTACAAAATGTATAAATTTAAGTTCATTATGCTCTTTAGTTATTATCTTTACTTTGCAGCCAAAAAGGACATAAGTTTTTATTGAATTTATATAAACAAGTAAAATAGTTTGTTTACAATTTAATCACAGTATTGACATGAAACATTTTTAGACTTCAGTTATAGCAATAATTTTTTTAAGTTTAAATTTTTTGTTGCTGGTTTTGTTGTGGATTTTTAAGAATTAAAAGCTATTGACTTTTTTCTCAGTAACACATCACACAAGGAGCATTTGTTGATATGGGTTTTATTGGAGGAAATGCATTTCGGGTCTTAATGACCTCTCTTCTGGTCAGTAAGACCCAAAATGCATTTCCTCCAATAAAACCTATATCAACAGATGCTCCTTGTGTGATGTGTTACTGAGAAAAAAGTCAATAGCTTTTAATTCTTAAAAAAATTGTTTTTTCTTGCAGAGAAGCTGGGGATCTAAACACACTTATTTTCTTTTTTTCTGAGACATTAAACTAACTGTCTGAAGAAACGAGAAACGCCTGAATGATAATTTTCTCGTTTCTTGCTTATCTATTGATTGGTGTGAGGTCCAATATCTTTCACTTTTAACTGTCTCATCTTTAAGACTAATTTGTGACTATATAAGTCACCATATTCCTAACTTTAGATCAAAATTTTTTCCCTTCTACTTTTAAGTTTATGGCTGCTTCAAACTTTTGTTGACTGACTTTCTCAGGGTGAAATTGTTTCATCATTCTATGTCGACTACAAACTGTTGAGGATTGTCTGACTGTACAATTAAGTTTAAAATGTGTACAAATAACAAATTTTGTTATTGCTCTCCTAAGCTTAGAGTTATCATTATTGTCCATTGAACTCTCTTGAGATGTCATAAAATTTTTAGAATTTTTTATTGCTTCTTCCATGATTTTTATCCAAAATGTACTGCCTTTTACAAATTAAAATCATTTACTTATGCAGATAATTACAGCAGAATTCTAATGTTTGAAAATTTATTAATTATAATTATTATAAATATCAATTATTTATCTAGCATATACAGGTATACCTCAACTTACGTTGTTTCGAGTTACGTCGTTCCCGATTATACGTCGTTTGTCAAAAAAGTATACGGAAAAATAAAAATCAAGTTTAAGTCATTTTATTCGACTTTACGTCCGTTCGCCACAAATATTGAAGTCGTAATATCACTAGAAAAATGTTTAAAGCACATAAAATCATATTAAAATATATACATTTACAAGTATGTACTGTATTTACAGTACAGTACATGCATTCGTAAATTTAGATTACTTTTTTCTGTACTCTATTAAAAACTAAAATTTATTTGTTTGTAAGCTTAAAATAGATTCTTATTAACCATATATTATTAAAAATGCAGTAATAAATAAAATACAGAACTGGGAATAATAATTTATGGTTTTTCCTAGTGACAAGTAGATTCAGAGACAAGTAAATTCGACTTATGTCGTTTTTTGACTTAAGTCGTTTTCCTGGAACCAATTACCGACGTAAGGCGAGGTATACCTGTAATTGAAATAAGAAATACCAGTAATTTAAACTATTGTATGTGAGCAAATAACAATTAAAACACTAAGTATTGATGATGATAATTGCTTGTTGTCAGCCAAATATTGTGCTAATAATACAAAAAGATAGCCTAAACATGCCTAATTATCTGAATATAGTAACTATAACAAACTCTGATAACAAGAAGCAAAGTTTTGTAACTATGTTTTAACTTAGGTTTTGGGACAACACATGCTAATTTAACTAACATTTAAGTTTCTGATGATGATATCCACAATTATAATAAATGGATTCTACTATAATATTTTACCATCATCAAGGAATCTAATATGTGAAGGGGGAAAACATTTTCCACACCATTACACTTAATTGGAACAGTCTAAATGTATACAATTTACTAGTAAACAATTCAATGTTAACATAGTATTAATATTTGTGATTGTGATTTGCAATTGTATATTTAAATCATTTCAACTTTAATGTGTTATGAAAATGGAGTTGGAAGCATTCTAGAAACTTAAAGAAGAGCTTAAAAATGATTTTTATTAAAGATTTTAAATTATCATCTGCAATTCCTATTCTACTAATATTTTTACTTATGCAAGTTTTATGTTATATAAATGTATTTTGTTTTATTACATATTTTTAAAGTATTTATTAGTTATATATTAAACATAATAATTTTAAAATTTAATTTCTTTTAATAGCGTGGAGCTGATGAATTATTATCACCTTCTGGAAATGTTAGTAATGGATCTGTTATGAGCCCTCATCAGAATCATGCAGAAAATAACAATGATGCAAAAAAAGTAATGTGTTATTAATGTTTGTAAATTTTATAGCAATAATTTTTTTGTTAATTGTTTTTCATTATTATATTTAAATTTAAGAGAGTGAATTTACTATTATTGTTGTAAGTATAGAATTACTGATATACCATACAGTAGTTGAATCATAGGAAAAAAAAAACCCCAAAATCCGGGATTGTCTTATATCACAGATATATGCTAAAACTATAAAACTCTGACAAAAATTTATACCTCCTCTTATCTGAAGGTTGTCTTATCTGCCGAGATATACGATAATTAAATTTAATATAACATTTGCTTTTTTCCAATCTAAAATAATTAAACTTAAAATTTTAAAAAATGTTTTATGAACTTACCAATTGTAAAACACTGATCATAGTTTAACTTAGAGAATTGCTGTAGTTATTTGGAGCATCCCTAGTAATAAGTGAATTGTTTTAAAAATAAAATATTTTACATATATGATCAGTAAGCATAGTAGATAATGTTAGAGAACATGAATAGTTCTGAAAATATTGTGTTATTATTTATAGATAATATAAATTTTAAAAATATTATATATTATTATATTATGATTATTACATATGGTCAATTTTTAATCTTTTGTTAAAATTATTTGGCCCTTGATATGACTGTTGATCACTGCTAATTAAGATAACTAAATCTGTGCTATATAGTAATGAGAAACATGTATCAAAGTTTAATTTTCTGAATAGTTCCATGGTTTGTGTGCATTATATGAGCTATTGATTTTGAAAGTGGGACAAGTTCATTTTATGTTATTGCTTGATATTTAATGGTTTGCATTTGAATGGATTTAAAAATATTTAAGCAGTAATAGACTTATTTAATATTTTTTGTGGTCTTATTTCATGTAAATTTAATATGCAATAATGGTTATCTGTGTTAGGTGTAAAAAAATCATGATTTTGGTATATGCAATGGACTTGCCTCACTTTCAAAATCAACTCACAATAAATATTGTTGATGATATAAATTACTAGTAACAAATTTATACTGATATTAAAAGATATTTATAATGAATTGATTAAAAACATAAAATTTGTTAATTTGTAATAACAATCAGCTTTATTTTTTTTTTCACGAAATGGACTTGCCCCACTTTCAAAATCAATGCTCATATGCAGCCTTACATTATCATGTGAAAATATCTCAAGTCAGCAGTCCAGGTTGTTTTATGCAAATTTTATCCTGTCATTTCTGTAGGAAATATAAAGTGCAATAATTACATTTTCTTTCTGGTACTGTCTCAAAAGTAGTAAGCATTAGCTTTTCAGTGGATGGGACAAATTTTGCATATTATTTTTTTGTTAATGAAGATTTCTGCTTTCAGTGCATTGATGTGTGTTTTAATTCATTTGGAAAATAATGCACTCAAAGTTTTATCAAATCCTTTCAAAAAGTCCTTGCCATCAAGTGCATACTAAGTCAGATCTTTGACTACTGTACTATTTGAATCTATTTTTTAAGGTAAGTTTTCTAGGCATCCATCTTATGCCAATATTTCGATAATAGTCAGTTGTATACTATGCTGTTGCTGAAATATTTGTGTATCTAATTTCACTCATTGTTTTATTAATCCTTATTTATTCTGCAAATTATTTCTTGCACTTTCTTCAATCTCATCTTTAGTGTACAAATACCCATGCTGAAATTTTGTCATCCAGTTATAAAACTGCTTGATACGGTAAAATGTTTTCAGTGTTGACTACATTTCCTTATGTTTTTGCTATAAAAAAAATATTTAATAGCAGCATACTACTCTTTAGTTGTACACCACTGCACTACAGTTGTTTTAACAGATTAAGCATATTATTATATAATTAACTATGCTAATAGGACATATATCTGTTAAACTTCTTAATACAAGAATTTCTGCATTTGTTCATAATTTAGTTACTGACTTCCAAGTATTTTTGTGTTGCAATGTGAAAAAATTGTAATCCTATAAATTCCTACTATAGTCAATCTGTATTTCCTTAATCTGAAGAACTGAGTTAGATATATGAAAGTCGAGACCTGATATAGTAACCTTAGGGGCAGGAGACCCTGATTAAGTATATAATAATTTCCAATTGCAAACTGGAAGTCATGTTATTTCAATCCAAAAATTTTCTCATGAAAGGTGTTGGATAGATAGCTGGCACAACTCTATTGTTAAAGGAAAAGTATGATGTTCAGGGGCAACCCACTACTAATTTGAGGTGGAGACCATGTGGCTTAAATTAAATTAATTTAAAATATGATTAAAAATTGCAGCTTGGCATTGTGACAATGTCACAATAAATAATTGCTTGTCATTCTTAAATTTTAATGTGAAATATAATTTTTTTTGTAAGTTCAACTACTTTTTGTGAACTTGATTTCAGTTGATGACATTATCCTATGAAGAATACATTGGTTAACATCTGTTTGTTTTTGGAAAAATAAAAGATTTACTGTATTATATTTTGAGGAACTTACATTATGATATTGCAACTTATTGTGTAATATACAAACTTTTTCAACTAAAATGCCATAATAACAAAAATTATATTTAAAAAAAATATTTGTTGCTCAGGTAAAATAAACATTTTCTGAAAGGAAGAAGTTTAAAATTTTTTACATAACATGTTCAAAATGACTGCCACATTGAGAACTGGATGGGTTTGGATGCATGCATTATCAAACAAGAGATTTAAAGTTTCATGGAAAACCCTTTATTTTTACTTTCCAGGCTCTGTTATATATAACAAAGAAAAACTATGGTGATAGGTCAAAAAATGACCTCTTCCCAAGATTTTTATGTTTTTGTTTGAATCTTGAAATATTGAGGAATACAAAAAAAATTTGGGGTTTTTTTTCTGTATGTATTTGTGTGTGGGGGACACAAATTTGTTCACCCTCTTCAAAGCTCTTAACAACTTTTGTGTTTTTCTTAAAAATTTCTGAAATTTTGCAGGGATGTTTGTGTATTAGGGGATTTGATGCTATTAAATTTTGATGGTTGAAGATCAAGTGGGTGGGGAGATAAAGGGAGGTTGTGTGTCATATCTTGAATAAGTTCTAACTTAATGATGATTTTATTTGTTATTAGCATTTACAATTTTTTTATACCCACCCCTAGTCTCGAAATTAAGTTTTTTGCCAGTTTATAATAACTAAAAATTAAAAAGTTTTTAATAATAAAATATCATAACAGATGGCACCACCAAAATATTAAATGTTGTGGTAAAGTTAAGCAACTTGTTGCTGAATTCTTTTTTTTCACTTCTGCAATGAAATCCCACAGGAAAAAAACACTAAGGTTTAGATCTGAATTCATGGATAGCCAGGATAAACTATATTCAAAGAAACTTGGATACCAAGTAGAAATTATTGAAATGTAAAAAGTGTAGAACCTTTTCAGTAGTATGTGGAATAACATCATTCTATTGAAACCACTGTAGTCACATCAGAAATTTTTTTACAAGGAGACCCTATGGCTTTCAGGAAACGGATTTTGATGATCATTGGTGTGGAGGTAGTAGTACACCATGTGAGTGTAATCCATAAAATACTAAAGTGCAACACTCAAATATAATCGAGAAAAACGAACTTAACGTTTTCTTTAGCACTTTATATGTAAGTTACGTGTACTTCTGCTAGAGTATGCTGTGGCATGAATGGTAACGCTCCTGATCATATGCTTCTTTGCTCGGGTTCGATTCTCTTGTGTATACTTTTTTGCAGTTTTTTTATTCATAAATACTTAAAATTTATTTATTTACTCATTCATTTATTTCTTATTATTTAGTGTTTTTTTGGTATTTTTTTATTATTTATTTATTTATTTATTTTAATTTAATTTCTACTATCCAAAGTCTAATATAACTTTGAAACTCACCTTTGTCAAGTGAGAGGGGGCTACTTATGCCAGTTTGAACATGGGTCTATAGTCTTTTTTACTCGCTCTTTAACAGTTCGTTTCTGAATTTCAACATGAATCGACATATTTGTGCAGTGAAATTTATTTTGAAAAATTATTTTATAATTAAAAAAAATGTCATCAAAAGAAGCAAGTTCTTCACATTGTGATGAAAAAAACTGTTGATGATAACTCTATACAGTGATGTATCGAAGCAGCAGATAAAAGATAGAGTAGTGTATTATGAGAGTTTACTTTTTGAAAATAATTTAATTGCAACAACATCTTCTGATACACTATCTGAAGATGCTATGCTGATAGGCACAGAATTATATAATAATACATTGGATGTATTGAATGAAAACTTTATAATTGATGACAAATTGATTTATGCCCAAGAAGAGTGTACAGAAGAAAATTTCAAAGCAGTTAAAGATGACTCATCTGATGACTATGTACCTGATGAAAAAAAAATATAGAATGAAGGAATATATTTCATTTGAATATAAAATCAAAGTTTTAAAAGTAGCAAAAGCCCACCCTACCTGGAAACTACAAACATTACAAAAAAAAAAAAAAAACAGATGTAGTTATTTGAAAAGAATGGATCATTTAAAATAATGGGAGAAAGATGTTGAACGTGGTGGAACTATTTTTGATAAATATCATTTGATTGATTCTTGGACATATGACCGCTTTGTCAAAACAAGACAAAATTATTTTAAAAAATACCAAAAAAATCAATAAAT